TGTTATCTGAACACAGATGTTCTACTTATCAAATGCACACAGATAGACAACAATTAGTGTGATATGTATGTTTTTCTGCACCCCAGCTACAAGTTGCTTAAGCATGTTTACAGTCCTCCTCCACCATTCCTCTGCTATTTTTCTATGCATGTTATCTGAGGCTCTTCTTTAAATCAACTTGACTGAGGAAGTAAACATTGATATTTCTTTGTATTTTCTTGCAGATCTTGTAAGTACTCCCATGACATCAGCAGTGCTGAGAACAGGAAAGTTCTAAAGACCCACGAGTTGTCTGGCCTTGATGAGAATGAGCTGCGAGTGCTGCTTCTGCAGAATGACCCTTTCTTCCTCCCTGATGTAAGTTGTTCTTATTTTTGCTTTTGTTAATTAGGAATGGGAGAGGGCAGGAGAATGTAAAGTTCTGTTCTCAATTCCAAGTTGCTAAGATGTGCAACAGTGATATTATAGAATCATGGAATCACAAAGGTTGGAAAAGACCTCTAAGATCATCAAGTCCAACCATCACCCAACACTTACTGTGACCATTAAACCCTGTCCCCAAGTGCCACGTCCACACGTTTTTTGAACACCTCCAGGGATGGTGACTCCACCACCTTCCTGGGCAGCTGTGCCAATGCCTCACTACTCTTTCAGTAAAGAAACTCTTCTGAACATCCAATCTAAACCTCCCCTGGCATAGCTTGAGGCCATTTCCTCTTGTCCTATTGCTAGTAGAACAAGAAAAGTTAAAGGTTAGCCTGACTGTAGTATGAATGGGAATAACTGTGTGTGAAAACACTGGAAGAAAGAATATATTCTTTCTTAATTCTAATATTTCACAGCCAGGGCTGTTAAAGTGCCCTGTGCTTATAACCCCCCAAAATAACAGCAATAAAACTGTTAAACATTGAGGAGTGTGTTGGTTGTATAAACACCAGAAGGCTTGCACTTGGGTAAGAGCACATCATCCCTGACTGTCAGCAGAAGACCTGCTGCCTGAGAGCAGGGAGTGGCCAGCAAGGCTCCAGCCTGCTCTGTGTGCAGTCCCTGGTATCTCAACGGGATAGCCATAAAGTTACTCAAAACAAGCAAACAAAAAAAACACAGCAACTTCACCAAGGAGTTACAGACCGTGAGGTAAGCAAGGCAGAAGTGAAAGAGCACAATAATTCTACATGCTCAGAGGATAAAAGGCCTGACCAAAACCAGGTTTGATGGCTCTTACCCAAGAAATGCTGGGGAGTAGGAAGCCAGGGCCTGTTTCTTTTTCAGCCTCCACAGGTGCTGTGGTTTAACCCCAGCCAGTAGCTTAGCACCACGTAGCTGCTTGGTCACTCCTCTGCCTGCCTGGAGGGGAGGACAATGGGGAAAAAACCAAGTAGAACTTGTGAGTTGAGATAAGAACAGTTTAATAATTGAAATAAAACAAAATATTGTTATAATTATAATAGTAATGAAAAGGAAGATAACAAAGAGAGACAAATAAAACTCCAGAAGGACAAGATGCACAATGCTGTTGCTCTCCACCTGCTGATCAGTGCCCAGCCAGTGCCTAAGCAGTGATCCACCCTCCTGGCCATCTGCCCCTGGTTTATGTACTGGGCATGATGTTCTGTGTTGTGGAACATCCCTTTGGCTAGTTCAGGTCAGCTGTCCTCCCCATGCTCCCTAACAGCCTCTTGAGCCCCTCCTCACTGTCAGAGCATAAGAAGCTGGAAAACACTTGGCTTAGGATAAGCACTACTTAGCAACAGCTAAAACATCAGTGTGTTATCAGCATTATTCTCACACTGAATCCAAAACACAGCACTGAACCAGTTACTAGGGAGAAAATGAGCTCTATCCCAGCCAAAACCAGGACAGTAGGTCTCTGCATTTTGGTGCTTGAGGGTCTAAGGGAAGGAAGAAAAATCTATGACAAGATGACCAAATGATTGCAGTCAGTTTTGTGTAAAAATCTGCCCCTTCCAAAGTGCACTGAGCTTTTGTACACTGCTCTTCTGTGAAGTAATCTCTGGTTTGTGTGCCAGCCATTGATTTTATTAAATTTGGCTGAACAATCCATTATGGTTCTGTGTGTGTGGGGGCAATGCTGCCTTCAAGGTGTGGCTGTTAAAAGCCAAATCCTGTTCTGGCTGCAGATTGAGAAGTAAGCAGAGCACTGCCTGTTACTCTTGTCTTTTGGAGGCTGTAATCTGTACAGATCTCTTGGCATCACAGTTCTATTGTTTCCTTATTCCCTGCTGTGACAGTGCTGGGCTTTCACAAAACAGGATTTTTGTGTGTAGTGTTTTAATATGTTGTGCTGGAAAATTCAAGGAGGGTGGTGGTGATGAGCAAGGAGGATTAATAATCTTTGTGGTGCTCAGCTGCATCTAAAACTTAAAGTGTTTCTTGTTTAGTTACTCCCAGTAATGAGCAGATAACAGCAACCATCATTGATTGGTATTACTGATTGGTGTTATCTGGGGTACAGAGTAAGAAAAACACAGGGACACTCCAGAATCAGGGTTTAGAGTAAGAAAAACACAGGGACACTCCACAATCAGGGCTTTTACACTTTCCCTCATCTTTAAATCTCTGGGAGCTTTGCTTTATAACTTAAATGCCTGGTATCTCCACTACCCTGAAGTGATACTCTGTGTAAGGGATGATCCATATAAAATTTATTTTTAGTACTCTCTCAGCTTTTACCTGATTCTGTGTTTTAGTTGCTTTTTTTCCTTTACTCTCTTGAGCAAGAAGATGCAGTTCCTATGCTGTGGCCCCTAAAACCAGTGTCAGACTTAAGTCTTAGGCTTTTTTTGTTAGTTCTTAAACCACCTTCGGGCTGTGTGACCAACTGTACTCCCTGGTTCTGGTTTTCATTAGCAGTATTCCTGGAGGAGAAAGTTCCTAGAAAGGAGAGGATATCAAAATTAAGGGTGAAAGATTGGGTTGGGGAAAGAACTGTTAAAGAAGCAATGATTTTAAGTTTCTCTAGAAGCATCCAGAGAAATCTATTACTCCTTTGAACCAATGGACTGCTGTGTAAGTTTTTATCACAGCCCTTAGGCTGGGCTTGATTGTCTGTCTCTGGTGAATGCTGATCTGTTTGTTTCCAGCTTCGTAACTTGAACAGCTATCTCAGTGTTGAGGGGTGGAGAAGCACGTTTATAGACTTATTTTTCCTGTTAGGTAGAGTCATAGACTCACTGTGGTTGGAAAGGACATCTAGGATCATCAAGTCCAGCCTTCCTCCCAATATTTCCTTAACCACTAGACCACAGCCTTGAGTTGTACATCTACTCAGTTTTTGAACACCTCCAGGGCTGGTGACTCCACCACCTCCCTGGGCAGCCCCTCCCAGTGCCTGACCACTCTCTCAGGGAAGAAATTCTTCCTAATGTCTAATTGAGGTCATTTCCTCTTATCATATCATCAGTGATTTAGGAGAAGAACCCAATACCAGCCTCAATACAGTCTCCTTTTGGCCATTTCCTCTTGTCATATCATCAGTGATTTGGGAGAAAAAACCAATACCAGCCTCACTACAGTCTCTTTTTAGGGAGTTATAGGGAGCAATAAGGTCTCCTCTCAGTCTCTTCTCCACACTAAACAACCCCAGTTCCCTCAGCCATTTCTCATGAGGCGTTTTCCAGCCCTCTCACCATCCTCTCTGCCCTTCTCTGGACCCCCTCCAGCACCTCCATGTCCTTCTTATCCTGTGGTGCCCAAAACTGGACACAGTGCTCAAGGTGCAGTCTCACCAGTGCTGAGTCCAGGGGCACCATCACCTCCCTGCTCCTGCTGGTCACACTGTTTCTGACACAGGCCAGGATGCCATTGGCCTTCTTGGCCACCTGGGCACACTGCTGGCTCATGTTCAGTTGGCTGTTCACCAGCACCCCCACTCAGATGAGCAGGCACTCAGATGAGGCCTGTTTTAGATGAAGGTAACATTTTGAGTAGTGTCAGGCCTTCAAAGCAGAGGAACATTGTTCTACTGAGGAAAACCATCCCTTGGCAGTGGTGTAAGATTTGAATTCTTCAGTGAGTGAAGTTGCAAATCATCTCCCAGAAGATTGTTTGTTGCTGCCTAGCACTTGCATACGCTCTGATACACAGATCTTAGAGTGCTCAGTAGATTACAAGCCCTTCTGCCTTCTCCTTGGACAAAGCTGGAAACATGAAGCAACTTGCCAAAAATGCTGGAGTAAGTGAATAATTGCTTTAAATTGGTAGGTGCTGGTACTTTTGGATCTCATTGAGAAAGGCACGTGACACTTAAAAGATACATACCTGGTTACTATCAAAGGTTATAATGAGAATAAATCTTATGTGTCCCTTCTGATGTCCTGGTAGCAATACAGCACAAGACAGACCTCTGGCAGGACCATGGCTTGCTGTGCAGAATTCCCCTCCACGGTGAAGTTCAGCACTCTTGCTCATCTCCACATCTTTGTAATGTTTTTCTGGAAGGAAACAAAAAAGCCCCCAGACCCAAAGCTATTGGTCTTGCATCCATGCAAAACTGAATGTTCTAGATGGAACACTGAGGTTCAGTGAGAACATTATGCTCTTGCAGATCTCTGCAGGAACAGGCTCTACAGGTTGTATTGTTGGAGGCAGTCCGTGCCCGTGGCATGGTACCTGCTCTCATTATGTGGCTGTCACTAATGATAACGAATGAGCCTCTGCAACCAAGGCACCCAGACAAACTGCCTAGCTTTGCTAGAAGGTGCTGTCTTCTATGAGCTGAAAATTGGTCCAAAATTAATTTACCCAAATTAATCTGGTCCAAGAGAGTGATGAAACTGCTGGAGGAGCTCAGCAAAGTGCTGAAGGTAGGATTCAGTAGGACGATGAAGGCCCTGGAACATCTCTCACCTGAGGACAGGCTGGGAGAGCTGGGTCTGTTCAGCCTGGAGAAGTCAAGGCTCAGGGGGCTGTCATCAGTGTTTACAAACTCCTGGAGGGGAAGGTGTAGAAGATGGGGAGGCTCTTTTCAGGGGTGCCCAGGGTCGGAGGTGATGGGCATGAAGTAAAATGCAGGAGGTTCCATGTGAACTCCAGGAAATGCTTTTTGACTGGGAGGGTGACTGAGCACTGGCATAGGTTGCCCAGAGAGGTTGTGGAGTCTCCACCCAGAGGTATTTAAAAGCTATCTGGACATAGTCCAGGGCAACCAGCTGTAGGTGTCCCCAAGCAGGGGAATCTCTGCTCAGGCATCTAGAGCACCTCCTCCCCTTCCTCCTCCTCACCCTGGTGTCTGCAGGGCTGTTCCTCACACTTTCCCACCACCTCCCCTCACTACTGTGCAGCATTTTGCCCTTTTCCAAATGTTTTCCATTGGTGCCACCAGCTTGGGTGATGGGCTCAGCTGTGTCCTGCAGTGGGTGTGCTGGAGCCAGCTGTGTCCAGCATGGGGCAGCCCCTGGCTGCTTCTCCCAGAGGCCACCCCTGCAGCCAGCACCTTGCCTGGGCACCCAGCAGGCTGTAACACCACTGGTAGCATTTTGTGATGCAGCACAGCAGAAACAGACAACTGATAGCCATAGATGCAAGGGGGCAAATGGAAAGTTGTGATATACCTGTACAACAGGGGAGAACACCCAGAAGTCAAATCTGGAAGATAGCTGGCAAAACCAAAATCCTGCAGAGCAGGCAGGAAGGGCATTTCCTGGAAGCAGAATAACCCAGGAGAACAAGGCAAAGTAGAACAAGTCCAGATTTCCAAAATAAGATGTCAAAAGCAAATGAGAGCATTCTTGGGTGGGGTGTTAGGGGTAGAAAAGCATAAAGCATCCACAGTGGTGGAGAAAAGAAAGGAAGAAGATAACCCCCTTTGGTTTCTGCTTTGCTCAAAGGCTAAGAACCATCAAGGACAGCAGCCATCAGTGCTTGCTGCAATCACATCACTTCTGTGGCTTTCTTTGCTCCTATCTAATTTAGAGGAGGTTTCTGAAGGCCAATTGTTCTGTACATGGCACTGACTGGTAGCAATGAGAAGTTTGTATTTGGTGATGGCTATCATTAATGAGTAGGAATCCAGTAAACTTGATTTGCAGTTGAAAGTGGCCTGATTTTTCTGTCTTTTAACCAGTGCCATCCCAGCAATCTTTAATTCCCTGGTTGATGTATGAAGCTCTATATGTTCACTTGCAACACAGCATAAAAACTGTCTCTGTTGCTTGGAGCAGGGGTTGGGAGGGGATCTGTGGCAGTTGTGGTGATGTTGGGGCTGTCTGCCAGACAGCTGAGTCCCTTCCTCAAAGCAGCTTTCTTGCTACAGCCTGCTCCTCTGTGCCATGGGAGCAGAAGTGTTGCTGTGGTGCTTGGTGGGCAACACGAGGGAGTTTTTTGGGTGTGATTTGTTCCCTATGTACAACTCACTGCACATCTCTTTTTTTTGGTGGATAAAAGCATTCTTCATACCATTTTTAGATCATAGAATCATTAAGGTTGGAAAAGACCTCTGAGGTCAAGTCCAACCATCACCCAACACTACCATGACCATTAAACCATGTCCCCAAGTGCTACATCTACACATTTTTTGAACACCCCCAGGGATGGTGACTCCACCACCTCCCTGGGCAGCCTGGGCTGATGCCTCACCACTCTTTCAGGAAATAAATTCTTCCTATATCCAATCTAAACCTCCCCTGGCACAACTTGAGTCCATTTCCTCTCGTCCTGGGAGAAGAGACCAACACTCACCTCACTGCAGCCTCCATTCAGGGAGTTGTAGAGAGCTATAAGTTCTCCCCTCAGGCTTCTCTTCTCCAGGGTGAACAACCCCAGTTCCCTCAGCCCCCCAAATCTTCAATGCAGAGTAAGCTTTACAAATAGGAAGGGCAAATGCAGTTTCAGTTCCATGAAATAATACCTCATTCGACAGAGTATACATGTTTTTATGGAGATACTTGTTCTTTTTTATGATTTTGGGGGTTTTGTTTTGTGTTTTTTTTTAATAAAAAGGCTGTAAAGCAGTCAATTGTTGTGCAGCTGCTTGCTTAGGAGTGCCAAAAATGAACGATTGTTGGATTGACTATTCTTTTTCTTCAAAAAACCCACACCCCATGCACAACTTCAGAACTGAAAATGCATGAGTCAGCTGAAAATGCCTCCTCTTCTTGCAAGAAATCTGTCCACATTTAAAAAGTTCCAGTGAACACATGCCTTTTAGTCACTGTTTATCTGCTGTTAAAGCTGCATGCCTGTAGAACAAAGAAAAACATTGCTGAATCTAATGTGCTTTTCCCTTTCGTATTGTGTCTGTCCTCCCCACTTGTAGGTCTGCCAGTTTTACAACAGAAAGGATAGTGCCTGCAACCATCAGAGCAACTGCAGCAGGCTGCACGTGTGTCGACACTTCCTCCATGGGGAATGCAGATTTCTCCCGTGCAAGAGGTCCCATGACCTCTTGAATGCCCATGCACTGAGGGTGTTGGAAACTGGAGGCATTGATCCCAACACAGCTTCAAACATCCAGACTATATATGATCACAAGCACGTGGAATTCAACAAGGAACTGAAGAGGGGGAATGGTGAGTTGTAAGAAACACTGGGTTAATTAGGATTCTGAGTTTGGTAGAGGTAGAAGCTGTTCTTGCCTTACCTCACTGCTAGACCCCTTCACCCTTTCTGTGCTTTCAGTATCCAACTACAGACGACAAGAACACTTACAGAAAAACCCAGCAGCTATGAGGAGTCAAGACCTGAAGATACCTTTGCAAACAGTGAGCTCCCTGCTGCATGTGCTACCTCCAGAAGGCAAACATCATGGTAAGTACCAGCTACCTCCATGTGGGACCAGCTTTCCCATTTCCCCTCTTACAACATGCACATACTTTTTTTTTCCCCCCTTCTGCTATTGATCTGTGTTCAGGTATGGACTAAGTCAAGGCTGAGTCATGTGGGAGGTAGAACTGCATTACTGTTGCCTAAAATACTGCATGCAAAATTGCTATCCAGTGGCTGCTGCTAACTGGCTAGCTGGGATTTGTAACCATTACTGCTGATCTGTTGTACCAGCAGTGGAGGGCCAGGGGAAAATTTTGTGTGGTGGACGTAATCCTCCACACACAAATTGGGACGTTGCTAACCAGCTGAGGTTCTGGTCCAGCAGTGCTCTTCATTCAGTTTCCTCATGCAGGTCTCAGTAGCAATGTACCTGGTCAGAGCCAACACCCGTTGCCAACAGGAGCTGGAGGTAAAGACGAAGGTGCAAGAGCTGGAGGTAAAGATGAAGGTACAAAAGCTGGAGGTAAAGATGAAGGTGCAAGAGCTGGAGGTAAAGATGAAGGTGCAAGAGCTGGAGGTAAAGATGAAGGTGCAAGAGCTGGAGGTAAAGACGAAGGTGCAAGAGCTGGAGGTAAAGACGAAGGTGCAAGAGCTGGAGGTAAAGACGAAGGTGCAAGAGCTGGAGGTAAAGATGAAGGTGCAAGAGCTGGAAGAAAAGACGAAGGTACAAGAGCTGGAAGTAAAGATGGAGGTACAAGAGCTGCAGATAAAGACAAAGGTGCAGGAGCTAAAGGTAAAGGTGAAGGTCTGTTTCTAACCCTCCAATCTTGAGATCAGTGGTTCTCACTGGGGTTTGATTTCAGGCAGCCCTACAGCTCCCTGTGGTAGTCAGAGTAGAGCTTCTGTGCTTACCCTGCTGTATGCTGAAAGCCATAGTACTGCATGGCCTGCAGAGGAGTGTTGAGATTTCTGCACTAGCATTGTGCAGCATGAGGGGGGATAGCCTGGGATTGATCTCTGACTGTTCTGGATGCATTGCTTCCTTCCTGGGAAGAAGACAGAGTTGTATCTCTGTGTGTGGTATCTTTCCTTGCCTTCTGTCCCCAGGGAATGGATATAGCTTTGTCAGCAGAGCAGTGTTTGGATGTACCTTCCAGTGAGTGAATAGGAACTTGTAAATCCCCTGTCCTCCTGGGCAGAAGGGTCTTGGCTTCAAAGCCTGTTAGAGTCCAATACACTCTGAACAGGTTCTTTTAGAGACTCCATGCATGGAAGGTGTAATATTTAATGTCAGTTTTATTTATTTGAAGATAGTTGATGTGACACGTGTCAGCTAGGCACCATGTAGCCACTCAATCACTTCCCCCTGTTCCCCAGTGGGGCAGAGGAAGAAGAAAGAATAAAAGCAAGAAAACTTGAGGATCGAGATGGGAAGTGGGGGGAAGCAAAGGCTAAGTGGAAGAAGAAAGAAGAAAACAAAGCAAAACAAGTGATGCAAAGGCAGTGTCTCACCACCCCCCATGGGCAGGCTGATGCCCAGCCAATTCCTGAGCAAAAATAGCCAACCCTTCTAAAACTCCCTCTTCTCCCTTTATTGCTGAGCATGGCATTGCATGGTATGGACTGTTTCTTTGCTTGGTTTGGGGTCTTCTGCCTAGTTGTGTCCCCTCCCAACCTGTTGTGTAATCCCCATTCTATTCCCTGGGGGCAGGGTGAGAAACTGAGAAAGCCTTGATGCTGTGCAAACACTGCTCAGCAAACACCAGGGCATCGTTGTGTTACCAGCATTGTTTTGGTCAAAATTCTAGAACACAGCATCCTATGAGCTGCTGTGAAGAAAACCAGTGCTCCCCTAGCCAGGCCCAGTACAGTGAGACTGCTGATGGAGCAGAGTGATGCAAAACACACGGGAAGCAAAACACAGATGTAAAGCTGCACTTCCCCAAACACAGGAGTTGCAGTGGGGTGTGATGACAATACCATCTGTGACTCCTGGTACTGGTCTGTATGATGTGCTTGCTGTCATGGCACTGGGTGTCCCCTTGCCCTGGGAAGGAGTACGTGGGTTGGAGCCAGCCCAAGCCTATTGCTCTCTTTGAAATTCTTTTGTTCCTTGTTTAGCTTTTACACCCGTGTGTTCTGGGCTGAGGGCTGTATTCACTCCCCCCGTGCTGATCTGGCAAACCCAGGGAGAAGTATTTGTACTGCCAGTTGATCTGCTCAGCTCGCTCAGCCAGTTACCTACAGCAAAGGCCACCCTCTGGTCCCCTTTGTGCTGAGACCAAGTCAGCTCCTTCGCAGCCGTTGGGGTCAGTCACACCCTGTGTTGCTCTCTGAGCTTCGTGGACATGTCACCCCTGGCCACCTCCACTGAGACTTCCTCCATCCTAGGAGTTTACTCACTAGTCCAAAGCCCTGTTTCGTGTGGTGGGCTGTATGGGGGATAGCCAGGTCCTGAGAGTGCTTGACTTAGCCAATGCAGTCAACTCCTTGTTATTTCTGGGATGAAATACCAAATGCAAAGTCTTTCTCCCAGAGCTGTATTTTGGCAGGGCAGGTAAGGACTAATGTGTTCTTTCCTGTAGATAAAAAAGACAGTTGCTCTGCTCAAGCTTCGAAAGAGGACAGAAAAGATCAGCAGGATGAGATATGTGTGTTCTACCTCTGGAAGTACTGCAAACATAAAGGTAAGCTTCATAAAAAGTATCCTGCTCTTTGGAGAGCAGTGTCTGCAGAGGCACTCCCCGCCCAACGGCTCGGGCGAGTGGTGGCATATGGGGTGGCAGTGGTGATTGTGCCTTCTCAGTCATTCACCCTGTTCCCAGGTCACTCAAACACTGTCAGAAGGACAAACATAATCAAAGGAAAGTCAACAGGATGCACTTAAAGCCTTTCTTCTCTAGATGATCCATCTGTGGCCTGTTTCAGTCCTGTGGATGGTGGCAGGCTTTGGGTATGTTTCTGTGGCAAAAAACCCTTCAGGTGTTAGATGCTAGACTTTCTGTAACTATTAGATCAATTGAAGATCAATTAGATCAATTTAATTTATGCTGTCACCATTACAACTGGTAACTATGTCATCCTTTATTCCTGTTGCATTCTATGTACATCAGATAATAGCTGTGTTCTCCCCTGTGAAGTCCTTTAAAAAGTGATCTGAGGTGTTAGAATATCTGAAGAAAACACAGTAGTTGTACTAGCTAAGCTAAAGATAAATCTAGTCCATCATCTGTCTGGCTGTGGCAAATAACAGAGGTCTGGGGGGAAAATATAAACAATTGTATCTGGGGGCTGTCCCTGAACAGTAACTCAACCCCCAGGTTAGGCTCTTCCCTGGTTATGAGGAGGTACCATGAGATTTCCTTCCAGTGAACTTGTCCATCCCCTTTCTAAAGGACTATTCCTTTTCTGACCACCTGGTCTTGGTAAAAGATCCACCCAAATTAGGTCAGACTGTATTGACTTTAGCTTGGGTTGTGGACAATAAGTTACCTGGTAACTGTTTGGCCTGAGATGTTTGTGTGTGTTCAGCATTTCTGTCGTGGGTTGATGTTCTGGTAAAGATGCAGTTCTCCTGCCAGAAGCTGCTTTTCTGAGAGGCAGGTAAGTTAGTTTAGGGCTTGATAATACCTCTTCTTAACCATTATTTTGAAGAGAGACAATACTTTAAAAAAGAAATTCATTCTTCTGTGGGTATTTTATGGATCATAGAAGTGAAAGCTGGCCAAGAGGGAACAAGTGTGGTTTTGTGTACAGCTTTTCAAGTTAGTTTAAGCAGAGTGTTTTCAAGACAGTGCACTGAAGCCCTGTTAAAAAAAAAAGAGGAAGAAAGGAGTGAATGACATTGTTGTCTTCATAACTGGGGTTAGTTTCCATCAGGGGTCAGGACTGGTGAAGCTCCTTTTGGCTCTGTCTGTGCAGCAGCTACTGTAGCTTTGTGTCCCATTTCTCAGACTCTTTGGTTCTTTAGGACCAGGCTGGAGGCTTAAGTTCTTCAACTTTTGGACCTGCCTAATGTGAATGGTGTACCCCTGTGCTAGCTGGGGAGGCCAGGCTCAGAGCAGCTATACTGTGACCACCCAACAGCTAAGCTGTGCTACACCATGTTTGGCTCAAAAATGGTAAATAAGAGGTTTGGTCCATAGATGGATGTGGAGTGTCCAGCAGATTCCATCAGATTGTCGTTGGGCTGGGCCAGAAAAAACTATTCAGGCCTTGATAACCATCCCACCAGTCCTAAGGGACTAAGGGAAAGTTTTTTTAAATACAGCAGAATGCTCATGTGATGTGTAGATTTTTTACAGCTGAGAGACGTGGTGTGACCCAAACACTTCCTGCCTGTGGCACTGCTCTCCCCACTCCCAGTGTCATGTCTCAGCAAAGGGAAGGTTCTGATTTCTCTGAAATATGTTTGGCAGTATGAGAGCTTATGTTGCCTTTCTAGGTAAGAGTGAAGAAACACACATTTCTCTTGTTCAAACATGTTTTCAGCACTCTGTCTCTATTGCTCATACCAAAACTCAAGAGAGAAAGCCAGAGTGTAAAAACTGTGTTGGATTTTTTTTCCTCTTGTCTTGCTCTGTGTTAGGATTGCAGAGCTCTTCAGTGATCATGTCTGATCTCATTCCAGATAAATGCAGATCTGTTCATTACCATTTGCCATATCGATGGCAGGTATTTGATGGGATCACCTGGAATGACCTTGCCATGATGGAGGAGATTGAAAAGGCCTATTGTGACCCAAAAAACAACAGGTATAATGATGCTGAACTGATTGGTTAGAGTACTGTTGTTGAGCCCCTGAGGAGAAACTCTTGTTTTCTCCCTAAAGAAAACGAGTTTTCCTATTTGTTTTCTTGACAAGAAGTCTCCTCTGACTTCTGTAGCTTTTGATTACTGAGCTTCTCAGACTGGGAGAATGTACAAATGAGAATTTTTCTTTTAAAAAGAAGTAAAAGTGATTGCATGGAAATATCTCCCCATTTTTGTCTTCTAAAGGTAACACAACAATATCTTGCATTTAAGACTCTATAAGGGATAAAAAGAAGTGGGTAGAATTTAGTACATAGCATATTAGTGTTTCAGATAATGAATCATAATTTATTTATAATAATTATGCTGGGCCTTTTAACAGCAGTTCAGAACTGGTCCTGATAGCTAGTAGCTATAATAATAATATAATATCTATAATGTGCCTAGAGAAATGCTATGAAA